CGAGCCATGTAGAGGTGGACTTGGCGGAAGTGGTGAAAAACTAATTACATCCTTAATAATGATACAGACACCTGACTCGCCGACACCATACCTGTCATTTCTGATGACATGACACCCTTTGAGGTTAAGCTTAAATGTTGGATTTAGCAGAGTTTCCTGTAGACAAATGATATCAAAAATGCTAATTAGTCGCTGAATTTCCTGAACTTTGTTTCTGAGTCTCCGACAATTCCAAGATAAGACTCGAAGAAATCGGGAGGAGTTCCTTCCTGAAGCGGGACGAGGGGGGTGTCGAGGAACAGGTGTGGTTAGGGAAGGAGAGGGGATGGGAGGGGAGGGGGAGGGGGGAGACTGAAGGAGAAAGGGGGAAGGACCGGGGGGGTGGCAGGAGAGGGGGGAGGGGGATTAGGGGTAGTAGGCCGATCCCCCATGGAGGAATGGCCTCTTGGAGGAGGAGGGTAGAAAAAAGAATCCGAATTCTGGTGCACATTGCTTGCCCCGAATAATTCAAGAACTTCAGCGACCTTGCTTAAGATGGGAGAAATATTTCTGACCAGGTGTAGAATCTGGCGTATCAGCGCCGTCATATCCGGAGCGCCTCCCGCCGTGAAAGCCTTCAGCAGATCTATAATGGATTCCAAGCCCGACCTGGGGGAAAGATGCCCCTGCGCAGAATGAACCCCACCTGACAGATCCTCTATAGGGGGGTGTTGATAGCCAATCCCGTTTGATGAACCTGAGGGTAAACGACCATTAGGCGCCATTACGAATTCTGATCGGCCATATCCGGCCGGTTGAGTAAGCGTGTTCAGAGAACGCGCCGGGAGTGGACGCGTGTGCTTAGTGGCAGAAGATTGAGACGCCAGCCGGCGTTGCAAGCGCTGGGGGGGGGGTGAGGAGAACTATTGGACGTAGCCTGAGCGTAAGATCTGCGCTGCTCCGGAGGGGAGTCATAAGAAAAATCATCATTGTCGTTCAGAGCATCAAACCTGTTGTGGTGTGTAAAGATACTTTGGGGAGATGAGGATAATGAGGGGAAGTTAGCACTGGAAGTTCCCAGGGGGGAAGAACTATTTTTCTTTTTCGCCTCTATTAGGGGGATATTGTGGGTGGCTGCAAGGGTGAGAATATTTTTGTGTTTGATTAAGATAGGACAGGAGGGATCATTCGGGAGGTGCTCACCTGAGCAGTTGATACATTTCGGCGTGCTGCTCTCCTCTGGGCAGATTGAATTCTCTGCGTGCACCGGTCCCCCGCAACGCAGGCACCTCGCAGGGCTCCGGCATATGACGTTGGAATGGCCCACTCTGTAGCATTTTGTGCAGAACCGGGCTTTCGGAATGTAAGGTCGCACTGCGTGCCTTGCCCAGAAGAGGATGACATGCGAGGGCAGAGATTGTCCTGCGAATTTAATACATATTGTATGAGATGGTACATATTGCGTAATGCCGTTAACAGTAATCCTTCTATTAAGTCGTTGAACTTCGACTATCTTATGCTCTGTACTAAGCGATTCTCTTATGTCCTCCAGACTGAAATCTAACGGAACGTCTCTGATGACGCCCGTGCGTAGGACACAATAGTTTGGAATGATTGGCCTTGCAATTGATTGAGGCCAGCATAGGATTTGAGACTAAATTGTTTGCCGCTGTTGCAGATTTGCATTTGACTACGATCTTACCTAGCCCCAGTTTCCTCATTTCAATGATGTCTGCAGCTGGCATGATCCGACCGACTTGCGCGAACATCCGCATCGGGTGAAGGTGGCCGTTGTTGTTGTTATTATTGCTGTTGTTGAGTGCGTACACATGCACCAAATACGGCGCCTGGTCTTGGTTTGTGTAGTTGTTTGTCTTTCCCTCTAATTTCTGTGCCTTGGGATTTTCCGGACCCAAATGAGACGACCGTGCGCTCGAGGGCGCATGGGCAGAGGGCAATGATGTCGCCGAAACCGATGGTGCCGAGGTATCCTCGCTACCTTCTTCAAGAACAGAATAAGATCTTTTGTTGTTACCTTTTTCGCTGTTTTGGACTGAGATCAGAGGGGGTGACCCTTGGGCGTCCATTTCCATGGCCGTGGCATCCTCTACGCTATCGTTATTGCCTACGGTGATTTGCGAGCACGGTTGTGCGTAGCCCTTCTGCTGCGTTGAGGTTATTTCGTTCCTGGCCTTATCCAGATGCATACTTGAGCTTGTGCGAGAGTGTTCGTAGTTGCGCTCTTGTTGTGCTCTCTGAGAAATTTCCGGGCTGACGCAATCTCACTGGGGACTCGCGCACTCACGGATACCGAGGAGGATGAGGATGATTCAATGTAATTCGAGGCTAGGGAGAGGGGAAGAAGGTGCGTGTCGTGCTTTTGACTTTGAGACAGGGCTATTTGCCCCTCAAATTGTGAAAAACGGTCTAAAGGGACCGAAAAAGTCTGTTGCGAAGCGGGGGAGACAGGAACGTTTCCGCCCCCTCCCTCCCCGACACCCCGAGGCCGTAGCCTCGTCCATTCCTTGCGGCACGATGTATACTACTGCGGTAGAAAAGAGAAAATTCGCGCACAAAAAAATCTCGCCCCGGGTGAACACCCGGGGACACACGCCGGGGATAAGCCGCAAAAAACACAGATTAGCCAAGCAAATAGATTAGCAACTCCCCAAGTTTGCCTTGGAACAGTGTTTTGAACGCCATCTGGGCGAATATACGTAGCAAACTAATATTCAATATGGCTACCTCTAATACGATATATTTATTAAAGAATCTCTTAGACTTCTTAAAGACATTTAACACTAATTTATTTGATTAGTGATTAATTATTTTTTTTAGTATTAATACATATTTCAAATAAATAATTAATCATTAATTAAATAAATTCAGTGTTAAATGTCTCTAAGGAATAGTAAAATTAATTATAAAAAACAGAAAAAGTTGCAATTACAAAGTTATAAATCTAAAAATAAAAATTACATTAATGGTATAATTAAAGCATAACAGTCATTATTAAATAATAACTTAACAATTGCAACTTTAATAGATAAGAATGTGGAAAAATTATAAATAGCGTAAATATTAAATGATATAAATACAGATTATATTTAATAAAAGTTTATTTCTTTAATTTATATCGCTTTTGCTTTTTTTCATAAAGTTCAATAGCTTGTTTAAATATTGCATTTCTTTGTACATGTCTTGTATCTCGACCTGATATAATTCTATTTATGGTTTTACAAAAAGTGTATAAATATAGAATTTTATAATTTTTTGGATTACAGTACGTTTTAATTCTATCTTATGTTGATTACATTTTATAAAGTCTAAATTTAATTTTTCGTTTAAATGAGTTTGTAATAAGGCAGAAACATTTCTGCGAAAACATAATGAAGAAATATTTTTGTTTAAAATATCATCAGCTTCGGTGAATGCACATTTCAAAAAAAGACATAGATGGATAAGTTAATGAACGTTTTTCTTTTACATATTCCCTGTGAATTATTTGCATATACTCTTCGTAGTATCTGACGTTAAAAGACTCTGTTTACATTCTTCACAATTTTTAAATTGTTTTAAAGATAAAACTTTTTTTGCAATCCAACCAGCAACATATGCTTGACTGTTTTTATTAGGTGAAACTTTATGGACTATTGTTTTATGTGTGATTTGAGATAATTCAATATGATCTTTTTCCACTATTTGTTCACTATTGTTAATTACTTGATCATTTGTTATAAATTGCTTTAACGTAAATCGCCGTCATTTTCATTTTCGCAATTATAACTTACAGAGCGTTTTGAAGTTAAATTATTTATTATTTATTTAGTAATGTTTTATATGATCCAGAGAATTGACTACATGAGGGATTAATGTTTCGACGTCCGTGGCTACGAATCATTCCAAAAAAATTTTCTAAAGGATCTTGATTTATATTTCGTGTTTTTAAAAATTGGATCCCTGCGTTAGTAATTACTTTCCATATGTTTTCAAATCCATGTAAAGTTTTAATCCAATTTTTTAATGATGGTATGCATTTAACTGGTTTCTTAGTTTTTGGATCTACATATCGCATGTCAGACAATAATTTAATAGCATATGGCCAAAAAGTGATGATGTTTACTATTG